GGGGGGGGGGGGGGGGGGGGGGGGGGGGTGGTGCAACGGCTTCTCATTGGCTGAGCTGCAGTGTTTCTCATTGGCTGAGCTGTGGCATTTCTCATGGGCTGAACTGTGGGGTTTCTCATGGGCTGAGCTGTGGGGTTTCTCATTGGCTGGGCTGTTGTCAGGTGGGGAGAGAAATCTTCCTTGAGCGGTAAAGTAGTTTTACTGCCCCAGAGTAAAGATGCAAGCATCTGTCTCTTTCTGGTGTAATTGGGGATGTGTTATAGGGCGTGAGAGCTCCCTCTACAGGCCTTCCCATCTCCAATTTAGTTAAGGTTTCTTTTATTAATGTCCACATTCAACGTGTTAGACCACTTGTAGCAGCCTCCTCTCTTACCTTCCAGACACCGCTTCACTTGGCTTTCTAACCTACGTCTCAGGCTCTTCCTGCTCCCCTCTTCTTCTATCCACCTTGAAATGTTGGAGTGAACCCAGAGTCCTCTTCTTCGTCCTTCCTCTTTATTTGTTCTTTCTGTGTATTCTGTCTCGATGATCACAACTCTGTCCATGTTTTTAAATATCATCTATATGCTGGTGACTTTCATTTACGTCTTCACTCTGGCTTTCTTTTCCAAACTCCAGTATTCAAATGCTGAATTTTCTGCTGATAGTCCTACTTGAATGACTTATAGGCATCACACTCTTAAAAATATCCCAGTGGACTTGTTTTTCCTGTCCATATTCAAACTTGGTTCTCCCCATTTTTATACTTAACAAATGACCCACTGTCTACCCAATTAAGCTATAAACCTGCACATAATCCTTGAATCATTCCTTTTTCCTTACCTCCCACGTCCAATCTACTGGCAAGTCTATGACTTTTCACCCAGAACTATTGATCACAAATTCATCCACTTTTTTCCATCTTCACTGCTAGCATCTTAGCCCCTTGATCCTCTACAGAGGTACTATTGACATTTTAGGCAGGACAGTTTCTTGTTATATAGGATATCCCACACATTGCAGAGCACGTGGCCCCCCTGCTTGCCTTGCCTGGCTGAAACCCCAGTTATCGTGAAACTAAAATGGGAAGTCAGTACTTCCTGCTCTAGAACCACCTGGGCCTAGTCCAGACCACTGCTGTGTCTCATCACACTACCACAGCAGTGGTCTCTTGCTTGGTCTCTTTCTGCCTGTGCCTCCTCCAGCCCATTCTCCACACATCTGACGGACTGGTCACTCCCTTACTTAAAATCCTGTCAGTAGTTTCCCAGTACACTTGTTGCCTCTGTGGTCTCGACTGCTGCCACCCTTTCCCTTGCTCATTGTGTCGCAGCCATACTGGCCTTCTTTCGGTTCTCTAGACACTCTGATTTTCTTCTCCTTTGGGCTTTCTTGCACGCTCTTCCCTCTGCTTGACTCCACAAGGCTGGCTCCTTCCTGTCTTGGTTTAAGTGGCACTTCATCAGAGAGGTCTTCTTAATCCCCCTGCTTTATTTTCTGTGACAGTACCCCATGTGCGCAGTTTGTAGTTTTTTATTTGCAGATTATCTTTTCTAAAAAAAATGTTTACTGAGAAATAATTCACATACCATCAAATTAGTCCATCTAAAATACACAATTCAGTCATTTTAGCATATTCACAGGGTTGTGTAACTGTCACCACAGTCAATTTTAGCACATTTTCATCACCCTTTCCTTCAAATGCCCCGTACCCCTTAGCAGTCACTTCTCATTCTCCCCTCCCCCCAGCCCACAGCAACCACTCATCTGCTTTCTGGCTCTATAGATTTGCTCATTTTGGACATTTTATACAAATATAATCATACACTGTGCAGTCCTTTGTGACTGGCTTCTTTCACTTTACATGTTTTCAAGGTTCATCCGTACTGTATGTATGAGTCCTTCCGTTCTTTTTATCACCAGATCCTGTTTCACAGTATGGATAGACCACATTTTATTTATCCACCCATCAATTGGTGGGTATTTGGGTTGTTCCAATTTTTGGCTATTATAAAGAACTCTGCTGTGAACATTTATGTGTGAGTTTTTGTCTGGAAATGCATTTTCGTTCCTCTTGGGTGTGTGCACAGGGGTCGGATTGCTGAGTCATGTGGAAACCACGTTTCACCTTTTGAGGAACTGCCAAACTGTCTTCCAGAGCCGCTGCCCAGCTTTCCATGCTCACCAGCAATGTGTGAGGTTTCCAGGATCTGTTTTTCTTTCTGTTGCTTGTGCTTTCGGTAAATCTAAGAAAGCTATCATTCCTGAGCCAAGATCATAGAGATTTACTCCTGTATTTTCTTCTAAGAATTTTATAATTTTGGCTCTTATATATAGGTTCATGATCTTCTTTGAGTTAATTTTTTTTAAATATCATTATTATTTTAATATTTATAGTTCTTTTGTGTAGTTGCAAAGTGTCTTACTTTTCAGAGTGATTTACATTATCTGCTTTAGTAAATCAATTAAAAATTAATGCATGTTGACGACATAAGACATTTTGTTCATATTTGAAATATATTCCATTTTATCACATTTTTAAAATGGAGCTCAATATATATAATCTTAGCTTGCAAATAATTGGTACTGCATTACTAGGAAATAATATTTAATTCTTCTGTTAACATTCTCTCTCCTTCCATTCTGAATGACAACCTTGATGGATAGAGTATTCTTGGTTGTAGGTTTTTTCCTTTTAGCGCTTTAAATATGTCGTGCCATTCTCTTCTTGCCTGTAGGGTCTCGGCTGAGAAGTCCGCTTATAGCCTGATGGGCTTCCCTTTATATGTCACTTGTGGCCTTTCTCTTGCTGCTTTTTGGATTCTCTCTTTGTCTTTAATTTTAGACATTTTGATTATAATATGTCTTGGTGTGGGCCTCTTTGGGCTTCTCTTGATTGGAGCTCTCTGTGCTTCCTGAACTTGGATGTCTGTTTCCTTCCTCGGGTGAGGAAAATTTTCCTCTATTATTTCGACAAATAAATTTTCTGCCCCTTTGTCTCTCTCTTCTCCTTCTGGGACCCCTATAATCTGAATGTTAGCATGCTTGATATTGTCCCAGAGTTCCCTTACACTGTTCTCATTCTGTCTAATTCTTTTTTCTCTTTTCTGTTCTGCTTGGGTGATTTCCTCTAGGCTTTCGTCTAGCTTGCTGATCCGTTCTTCTGCATCCTCTACTCTGCTATTGAGTCCCTCTAGTGAATTTCTCATTTCCAGTATTGTATTCTTCATTTCTGATTGGTTTTGTTTTATATCTTCCAGTTCTTTGCTGATATGCTCACTGTGTTCATCCATTCTTCTCCGCATATCTGTAAGCATCCTCATTATATTTTGTTTGAATTCTTTCTCCAGTAGGTCGCTAGTTTCTGTTTCACTTAGTTCTTTTTCTGGTGTTTTGTACTGTTCCCTTGCTTGGAAAGTATTCTTTGCCTCCTCATTATGCCTCTTTCTCGGTGCTATTTTCTTTGTACTAGGTGAGTCAGCTATGTCTCCTGATCTTGGAGAAGTGGCCTTATGTATGAGATGCCTTAGGAGGCCCAGCAGTGTGCTTCCCTCTCGTCACCAGACCATAAGAACCAGGAGTGACCCCTTTGTGGGCTACTTGTGTCCTTCTGCTGTGGCAGGGTTGCTCCCACTGCAGGTACCCAGGGAGTCTGATCTTTCCTTCCCTGGCCAGCTGTTTGTAAATCCGGTCTTGGGGTGGGGGGGCATCAGCACTGTTGGCTACAAAGTCTATCAGCACACTCTTATTGCAATTGTCCTCTTAATTGGGTTGGTACCCAGTGTAGCTGGTTGCTAGGTTCAGGGGCTACAGTTGTGATAGGCCTGAGGCCAACAAGGCTGTTATCAGTTCTCTTAGGAGTGCAGCTGAGTGGGGCTTGCCCTTGGCATGGGGGCACTCAGTTGTTTCAGGCTTTGGAAGGTGGGGCTGATCCTTTTTATGGCTATTTGTGAAGCCCAGGTCTTCTGCCTGCTGATAAGCCTCACCCCCCACCGGACCACATACACTGTCAGCACAGTCCTGGTCCGTGCACACTTCTCAACCCCCTGGAGCATACCCCAATGCCACACTGCAGAGGCCCCCACTTCTCCCCCAATGCCCCCCACAGTTCACCTGGTCCTCACACAGGCCCTGCCCCACAAAGGCAGACACCCTTGCCTGCCTGTAGAGGATCAAGGCACTCAGTCAATGCAGGCTGAAAAGTAGCCTGAGGGCTTGCTGTTAGGTGGGGCCAGTCGCTAGGGCGGGTTGCCTGTCCTGGCTGAACTGGATTAAATCTGTGCTCTAGTGGGTGTGGCAGACCCCTGGGCTAACAGCCCAAGGAATGCACTTCAATGGCCCCCACCAGTGTCCATATCAGCACACCTGGACCAGCTCAGAACAATGGCCCCCACCAATGTCTCAGTCTCCGGAGAGGACCCTCCTCTCACCAAGATGCCCCCAGAGCCCACCAGATGAGTCTCGTTTCACCAAAGGACAGTCAGCCTTCTCTCTGGTGATTTTAGGTTGCTGCAATGAGTGAGTTTGTGTGTGGGCCCTTTAAGACCCGGATCTTTTCGATTTCGGCCGATAGCTTTTCTAGGGATGTCCTCGCTGCAGTTAATAGCCAGCAAAGCCAGACAGTAAGACCCCCGTCTCAGCTGGGCTGAGTCCGAAGGATGGTTATAGCAGTATTGTCCCCGCTCCGGACCTCACTCCTCCAGGGAGGGCTCGTACCTTAGGGTGGCTCCCTCCTGACCAGCTGAGAAGTTCCCCTGCTCCCAAAGGTGGCTTTTTTCCTCTCTGGCCAGAGTTACTGCCTCTTCTGCCTTCGTCAGGACTGTCCCTTGTTGTGGGGGTTCTCTTTATCCAGTTTTCAGTTTTCAATCCAGGGTGATTCTTCCCAAAATTGTTGTAACCTAGTTCTGTTCGTGGGAGGAGGCGAGTTCAACGTGTGCTCACGGCGCCATCTTGACGAGATCTCTACTTTGAGTTAATTTCTGTGTGTGATGTAAGGAAGGGATCCAACTTCATTCTTTTGCAGGTCGATATCCAGTTGCCAGCACGGTTTGTTGAGAAGACTATTCTATCCCCATTGAATCATCTTGGCACCATTGTTGAAAAGCTTATTGTCTTTCTCCCCCACTATATCTTACGTTCCTTGAGTGAAGGAACCTGGTCTGCCTTGTTCACTAGGGTATGCCCAGTGCTTAGCAGAGTGCATGTGCATAGTAGATGTTGAGTTTGTATTTGTTGGAATAAAGAAAGGAGGAAGAGAGAGAGTCTGTGGAAAGAGTGTGGAGTGAAAAAGAGGAAAGGACCTTGAATCGTCATGTGGGTAGAGGGGGAAGTAGGTTTTCAGAGGGACGATCAGAGTCACATTTTAGCTGTTACACTAAATTCCCCTCAATTAATGAGTCTGTTTCTAAATTCTGTTCTCAACTTATTTTTTAAAAATTAATTTATTTTTAAAAGCAGTAATAAATACCATGGTAAAAATGCAAACGATAGAGGAAGGTAGAAAACAAAAAGTAAATGTCTTCTTCCCATCCACCCCATGCCATCAATGCCGCTTGCTTGCTTGTTCCGAGTTTTTGTATATTCTTCCTGTGATTTTTGCTCATACCAGCACATGTATATCCCTTTCTTTAAAAGTGCATAGGTAAAATAATAGTATTCATATTGTTTCGTTCATATTGTTTGTTCCTGAGAGTATGTGGTGCTCCTTCCCTACTAGCACTTATAAATCTTCCTTATCCTTTTTAACAGCCACGTAGTATTCCATTGTGAGATGTACTGAAAATTATTTATCTAGTTTCCTATTTACTGACATGTAAAACAGTTTGTTTTTGGTAGGATTCTTCCAGTGGAAAAGAATAACTTGAAATTGTGATTGTGAAATATATCTTTATTTTTATTTCGAAATGTAATTTACGCAACAGTATGAGATAACATTTTCTTATATTAGTTTCTGAAACTTTGACATAAATATGAAATAAATAAAATTTATCAATTTATCATTTTAAACTCTTAAAAAAAAGCCTTTCTCTCATTTCTAGGATGTTTCAGAACATCTTAGAGTTGTTTTAAGAATTAAAATTAACCCTGCATAAAAACCCAGTGTTTTCTGAAATGGTATTGCATTTCAGCATTTCTGTAATTTGAAAATCTTTTTGAAAGTCATGTGCCATTTACTCTTTTCTAGGCCAGCTTTAATGACCATAGCTGATGGAATATATAAGGTGTGCGTCCATGTAGGATCACAGCTGATAGAGAAGATTCTTCTCGACATTTCTCCTGACTGGCTCAGTAGAGCTATAGGTAAGATACCATCACGCCATCGAGAGGGTGTTCTTGGTGAAGCCATTCATTTCAGGAGTGTAGATAGTATTTGGAACAGAAAGAACGTTGTACCGTAAATTAAGGTTTTTTTCTGTCAGTATAAAAGCAGGAGGATAATTTAGCTCGAGTGAAACACCAGACTATGTGAATGGGAAGGTGAGACCTGCTCGACACCTGTCTCAGCACATGAATAGAGGGGAGCAAGTCCCGGATCTCTTCTTACCCTAAGTTTCCAATCGGAGAGCAAAAACACGAGGACTGCAGTTCTATAATAGTTAAGTAGATGAATGTGTGACAGTATATAGGTGAAGATACTCCCCTGTCCGTGGGGTGGATTTGTGGGATATTCAGCTACGAAGCTGGGGATAGTCAGTGGCTGACAGCAGAGTGCAGATAACCCATTTGTGAGATGATCAAACTCCATACTGTTCCTTATCAGTCTCAGACTCCAGGCAGATGAGCTAATTTGGTTCTACTGATTGCTCTGTCTCTTAACAGTGGATGAGTTTTTTTCTTGCTTTGTTTGTGTGTCTAGTAATTTCTGCTTGAGTTCTGCAAATTGCCCATAGAACAGTATAGACTGAGGTCAACAGTTGCCATCCCCGGAAATGGGCTTGCCTGTTTTCCTTGACCTTCATGGGGGCGGGGGGTGGGCAGAGTGGAGTCGATCTTGTAAGACGTGGAGTGGATTTGAGTTTGTTGTTGCTGTAGTTACCGTGGGGTCTCCCCTGGCTTCAAACGCCTCTGGCATTATCTTTGCTGATGGTGGGCAGTGGTTTGCCAGAGAGTTTTCCCCACTGTTCCCACTCCACCATCAGCTTTAACGCTTCACTCTGCACCTGGGCCTCAGAGAGTTTCTTTCTGTGTCCTCACGCCTCCCCAAGTTGTACAGGCTCTGTTGGTGGTTATTTGGCGGATCCTAGCCTGGTGGGAGGGGCGGAGTGATTCTCTCTGACTCTGGCTCAGCCCTACCTCACACAGGCCTGTGCCTCGGGGTCTTAGATGTGGCGCTTTCTCCTTGACCTGCCCCTCCTGCTCTGGCAGCCTCGCTCTGCCTAGTGTCTTTGGTGGGTCTTGTGTGGTTCTGCCCCTCTCCCAGCAGTAGTCACCACTGTTGGTCTTGATCCAGGGTGGTTTTTGGCTCTTCCCCAGGGATAGGGGGATTTTTCTTTTACCTTTCCTCCATTTTCCATGCATCCTCACCTGTACCCTGGGCCAACATTTGCCATCCTGCTTCCAGTAGTTTGAGGCTTTTGTTCTTAAGGGAGTGGTCCTGAGTGGTGTTTAGTGCTTTTCCTTGTGGTGGCTTCTCCCCTTCTCCAGGCCTTTGCCATAGTTGGAATCTTTTTCTGATGTCTTGCCTTCTGTCCAGGCTTGTGAGCACCTGGTGGAAACGACAAGAGCCTGCGAGGCTGCAGACTCCGCTGTCTGTGGCACTGGCCCCTGCTTGGCTTTTAGCAATTCATTAAAAGCTTAAGCACATTCTTCCTTCTTGCTTGTCTGGTAGCCCTGTCTTCTTCCTGAGCTCTGCCTCAGGTAGACCTGTGTCCCTGTTCTCTCTTTCCTTACATTTCAGTCTCCTTGGCTGCTGCGGAACCTCAGCTGTTATAGGTTCAAGAAAATTGTGATTTTGTAGTTTATTCATTCATTCAGATTATCACTAATCTTGATTTTTTTTTTTAGCTTATCGAAGTGAAAATACAAAAATTTTGAGTATTGTAGAGAATTCTCACACCTCCAAAATATGTCATTGAGCCTCCAGGAGTCTGGAGACCCAGTCCAAGAGAGGCTGGGGGTATTGGTCAGGGAACTAGTATTGGTCAGGGAACTAGTATTGGTCAGGGAACTAGTTTAGTTAGAGCCTAGTTGATAGTCCTTGTCAGTGTAGTATTGAGCAAGCTGCTAAATAACTTGATTTGTTGTCCTAAGAAAAATAAGAGGAAGAATATACGCAAAGGGCAAATGCAAAACACAGCGACATGTCCATCTATAATTTTAGTATTGTTATATTGCCAAGATTTGATGTTCATTAAGTAACTAATTCAGGGTTCTGCGATAGAAACGATAAATACGTGTGTGTGTGACTGTGATAAGAGCTGTAGACTGGGTCAACGTAAGAGGACTTTTCTGGATGGGCACGCCCTTTTTGTTTCAAGCTTAACTTAGGACAGCATTAATCTCAGTTCTTCCCGCTGTTGTCTGAAGAAGCCAGAAGCTGGGCCGTAATAGGAAATGCCTCCCCCCGCCCCCACCCCGTGATCAGCAGAGGTGGTGTCCTCATTCTAGAGGGCCCTCAGCAACCTGAGAAGAGAAAGGATAGAAAGCGAGATTTAAAACGGGGCTGGGACTTGACACGTCAAGGGGAACGACGAACCCTTCCACGTGTGCGGTTCTCTTGGCCTGGCAGGGACGCTGAGCCTGTGTGTGTGTGTTCGTCTTCCTCAGCGCCCCCCGCAGAGGTCACCTATGGCATGGTCGCCGCCGACTTGCTCCACGCCTTGCTGGCGGGCGGCGGGGCCCCTTGTGTGGTGAAGGTGCAGAGCCTCTTCCTGCTGGACGAAAACAGCTACCCCCTGCAACAGGATTTCTCGCTCCTAGACTTTTACCCCGACAATGTGAGCCCGCCTCCCAGGCCTTCCCTGAGACCAGGGGAAAAAATTGCAGGCGCTTCGAGGACAATCCCTGAAATGGTGCGTCTTTTGAAATAAATGAATGACGCGGCTTGGGCTGAGGGGTTTAAATAAATCTATTTTATGAAGAGAACTGTGCTAAATATATAAATTAAAACTGTTTTTCTAAGAAAATTCTGTGAGGTTTTTTGTTGCTTTCATCTCTTCCGTTCTTGCTTCTAGAGAAATGATCTAGCCACACAGGCAGCCCACAGCAGGTCCCTAGGAATCAAAGGGGCCCTGTTTCGTCTCAGCCACACTCCAGGCGACACTCTGAGTCCTGGGGACACAGACATGAGACATTCCCTCAGGAATGGCGTTTCTGCTGTGCTCACAAGCTCTCAGCTTTCCCATATTCCTGCTTCACTAAACCATCCACGTGGAATGACCTTGCTTGTAATTCTGCACCATATTGGATTAGTTCACATAAGCCCACATTTAGACATGTTCAAGACAAGCATGTCTGTCTACAAAGAAGCTTTGAAAATGAAGGAAACAAGATCACGCTTCCACTCATTTTATAAAGGGAGCAAGAGAGGCACATTGTTCATTTGTGTCTCGGACTTCCGTGCCTCACTGAAGTTACTTACCAACAGACGTTCGGCCGTTCGTTCTCTCGTGGCTGTAGATGCTTGTGTAGAGTGTAGTCGCGAGTGACGAGTGTGGGTCGTAATTGACCTGGTAAGTCTGGAGTATGCTGAGTGTAAAGAGATGAATAGTATTGCTTGAAGATAGCTAAATTCATGATGAAACGAACAAGTTTATTTTACTTTGTGTTTTTAAAAATTCTTTTGGTTCATTGAAACTGTTTTCTCTGATTTAATTTTGTTTTTTTTTTTAACTTGGCTTCTCTGAAAATGAACCTCAGGACTTTTGTGATTCTTCCAAAAACAATATGCAGAAATGTGTGTGAGTGCGTGCACACCCACGAGAGTACATTTTCCCGTGAGAAGGGTTTGTGGCTTTCAACCAATCCTCAGAGGGATCTTTGACAAAAGAATAGGAGCAAGTGCTCTGCTTGGTGCCTTAATTCATGGGGGGAGAAAAGGGGACTAGGGCCAATGATCACCAAGGTTCTGTCTGGCACCTAGTAAGACAAGTAGAGAAAGACTTGTCCCCATTTTCTAGCTAGAGACACTGGAATTCAAACAAAACAGTTGGCCGCCCTGGATAGTTCATCTAAGGGCGATGATGCTCGAGTCTGGGGCTGATGTCTTCTAACCCATGTTCTTTCAACAACAACCATGGGAGGAGCAAAGCTGGGATTCTGATACAAAATCTACCCATCAGGATAAGCCCACCAAGAGAACTATTCTCTTACATTTGCCCTTCCCCACTTTGTCCGCAAGATGTGGCCTATCAACCTGATCTTTATCAACCGAAACACAATCCCCTGCAATAGATGCCTCTTCACATGCTATTGGGAAGAAATCTTTAAGCCATTTCAAGTGAGACAAAGAACACCGGGTCACACCAATATTTCTTCACAGCCTGTGGTATATATTTCATAGGTTAACACATATTTCCAAGGAAATGGAAATAGGATTTAGGCTGAAAATGATTTCCCCCTGTCTGGAGGGATCTGACTTAGCCCTAGAAATTATCATCTATTTAATTGGAATCTGGGGAGCTGTAGCTCATGGGTATATCCCTTACCAGAGATGTACAGGTGAGTATATTTAACCTACTCCGCATGTTGTCATGATGCTCAGTTAGGTAGTATTTCATAATACTCAGCGTGTCACCAATTCAGCGGTCCGTAAACCTCCGTCTTCGTCTCCTGATGGTTCAGCTGAGAAGGACAGCTCTCCCATCTGAGAGAATCACTGGCCCTTGATACTGACTTAGCTTTCCCAAATGTGTAATTTTGGTGCTAAATTTCCTTTTACATCTGTTTGTTTTGGGGGGGGAGGGTTCCGATCCTCAAGTGGGATGGCGAAATTGGACACGTGATCCACCCTGCAGACGCGCGCTGAGTCCACACGCCCAGGCACTGGGAAGACAAAGACGAATAGGAAGGGCTGCCTGGAGTGCGTTCCAAGGCCAGCTGAAGAAGACATTTTTAAGCAAAATAATATCAGTGCTGGAATTACATCTGTGTGGAAAAGGCAAAAGAGGTAATAAGATAGTTTACTAGGACTCTCGGTTGCAAGTGATGAAAACCCAACTCACACTAGCCTGAGCAAAAGAGGAAAAGATATTGGCTCATGTAACTGAGGGGAGTACTAGCTTAAAGCACAGTTGAATCCATTGGCTTAAATTGTGTCACCTGGTTATCCCAACTTCCTAATGCTTGTCCCCTTCCCTTGCTCCCCTGGTTTCTCTCCTTGCCTTGTTCTCTGCCCCTTCCTGTGTTCCTTTTATTCCTCTCCTGTTCTTGCCTTCCTTCATCTTCCCCTCTTTTCTCTCTCCTTCCTGTCTGTCCCAACTACCCACCTGGAGAAGAGATGATGTAGGAAGCCCAAACTTTCTTCTGTACAGAAAGAGACTCTCTCTTTGCTAGTGTCCATATAAAACATTTCATGGAAGAACTGTGATTGAATCTGCTTAGGTTATCAGCCCACCCCCAGGGGTGGGTGGGACAGTGGGATTGAAAGAGCTAGAACCACACAGGATGAAAGTAGCCCTTCCTTCCTGGAAGGAGAGTTCTATTCAGACATGAAGGTGTCTGTTGCAGTGGAAGATGCAAGAAGGCTTCATATATATGGCTTCATATGTATTTAACCTGTATCTTTAAATATGAGTATCTTTAAAGTCACCGCAAAAAGAGAGTGACGGGCATAAAATAGCATAGCATATTTGGGAAAATGGGACATCTCAAATGGGGCTGAAAAAAGTGAAAAACCCCTAGAATGCATAAGAGAGACAGAACACACTGAAACAAGGACAATACATCTCTGAAGAAATCTTAACTCACAAAGCAATGGCATTTTTATCGATAGGTTCTATTTGGTACATGAAAACAAATACTGATTTGTGCACAGCACTCAACTACATATTTTAGCAGATGCCAATGACATTACTGAGATGCCAGACCGATTTTTCAGCATAGAATAACACCAGAGTGTGGGAAAACCATAGACAAGTTCTGTTGTATCCCCAATATTTGATTTCCCACCGTAATTCAGGCTTTGAAATGTGGTTTGTTATGGTTTAAAAGGAATCTGGAAATTGAATGAAAAGTTTACTATAACCTCCACTTTCTACAGTTCACATTCCTGGGGTTTGAAGCAGATCAGAATAGGGCTTTTAGTCCATATGCTGAGGTGCAAAAGAGTAGATAAATCTACAGAATTCTGATAGGGTAGCTTTTTTACAGTGATCGTAAATTATCATCCTCCCCAGAATTCGCCTAAACTACTCAGACGCCATAAGTCATTTAAGACTAGTCTTACATTACTTGAGGTTCAGCATAACCTAAATAGTTGACCATGGCTGTTGTATGGCTTTCTTATAAGAAAATATCTGTAATTTCTCAAAACAATATAGAATGAAACAGAAAAACTACCCATCCCTATATCTTTCATTTTAAATGATAAATTTGTGTCCTGGAGGAATTCTGGATGGTGGAATATAGGCCAGGAAGCAGAGCAACGAGAAGAAAGAGTTCTTCTTTCCTGGGAGTTTAGCCCCTGTTTTAATGTCAATGGGGGAGAAATACATCACAGGGAACGGGGTTTCTGGTTCATTGTCATTGTGTCTTTGGAGGTCTTGAGCCTGGTTGGTTACTGAGAAGTCGATTCCAGTCACTTAAGGAACATATTTGCTAAGGTGACCTCTCTGCTTCCAAGGGAGGAGGAGGAGGGAGCTTCATCTCTTCTTTTCTCCCACTCCAGCTTCTCGGAGCTGGAAGGAGGGCGGGAATTGGCACTGGAACTTCTCCCACTCCCTCCCCAGGCCCCTGAGGCCCAGCCCCGCCAGGGAGTTGGGGCACAGAGGAAAGGGGGGCAAGAGTCTCTTTACAAAGCAGCCCCACTATGGTCCTCTCCTCTGATGGTCTCTGCTTTTCTAGCCCCTTCTCACCACGGATGCCTTCCGTGTAGCTGGCATCCAACACTCGTCCTTCTGGAGTGCATTCGAGAGTTCTTCCAAGGGCTTAGCTTTCTTATACAGTATAGGCACAGTGTCCTGTCATGGGAGAGCAAACTCCTGCCCCGTCTCTTCCACCCCTCAACTCCCTCCAAATAGCACCTCCTCTCTCCATCCTGACGTCTCTCTCTGATTCATTTCACTCCATGCTCATCGCAGGTCGCAGGTCAACAAATTCTCTGCACGATCAGACATTAGACAAGCTAAGGAATTCTCCTTATTTGCATAATGTATACAGTACAATTCAATTTATGTAACATGTGGTCATACTTTCTGGAAGAACCTGACGAAAATGGTATCGTGGTGACCCTGGGTGGGGACTTAGGGCCTGCTTTTACTTTCTCCTTTATTATTTTTATCTGATGGAATTACTAGGAAAATTTCCCTAATTTTTAAAGAATACACATTCCCTGTACTAAAAAGATCACTTCCCAAATATAGAAGAAGGTAATATGGTTTTGATCACACAAACTAACACCCCATAGTAGATGCAGCTTCTTCATGGAGGGGCAGCCAAGCACACAAAGACACCTCTTCTCTGGGTCACGTCTATACTGTTTGGTTTTATCCCTTGGCAAAGCTGATTACTCAAGGAGTAGGATGCCTGGCTCAAGGTGGGCCAATCAGATTGTTTTTCCTGGAATTAAACTGAGTTAATATTTATATACAGTAAAATGCACAAGTCTTAAATGTACAATTTGCCGAGTTTTGACAAATATATACATTCACATAACCAATACTGGAATCAAGATTTGGAACATTTCCATTGCTCTAGAAATTTCCTTCATCTCCACTTTCAGTCAATCCCCACCCATGACAGGCAACCACTGTTCTGACCTCTCTCACTATAGATTAGTTTTATCTGTTCTTGAACTTCATATAAATGAAATCACATAGTTGATATTCCTTTATGACCTGGTTTTTTCACAAAACAATGTTTTTGAGATTCATCTTCCTTTTTATGTGACTCAGTAGTTCATTCTTTTTATTGCTGAGTAATATGCCAATCTATGAATATATTCCATTATCTATTTTCCTATGGAAGG